TGGACATGGACTGCCGACAGGTGTGATGGCGGTCCGATCCCTTTCGCGGACGTTCTCCGTGGGGCTGGCCGCCATAGCAGCTCAGTTCGATCAGACGGGTGAGTGAATTGGAAGTTGGTCATCCCAGGTCTACTGACCTCATTTCACCGTAGGCTGGATCACATATTATATGCTGATTGCTGCATAGTTGTTATGTACATATATATATCATATTCATATACAAGAGCACGACGCCTTCATTTTCAGACTCCTGGACCAACAGCTCCGGTCCTGTCAAGACATGGCCAGTGGACGCTACGAACGGGGCTCCTGGCCTTACTACTAGGAGCAAGGACGCTACTAGGGGCTCCTGGCATCGCTACTAGGAGCATTCATACTACTAAGTAAAGGACACTCCAGAAGAACATGCCAAGTGAAGCCGTTACTTGCAATGAAAGACTGAATTTGACCAACTGAATGTAAAGGAAATTCCTAGACTCGGGTCACCGTTTGTCAGTCAGACCGAGTCAGACCATTCATTTTTGTAGTCGACTGGACTCCCAGGGACTTCAATGCGACTTAGAATGAGTTGTAGATCAAATATTTTGCCTAAGAGACTTAGTTATCTAACGTATGATATTATACACATCAGCATCCCCATTGGGGTTTCATATCGTTTTCAGGAAGCTGTATTTATACCTCTGGGCTAGACCTATTGCCATGGAGTCAATATGATTCATGCAGAACGAAAAGAACTGGAACAGAGGAATTCAGGCTTAGGAAGGAAGAACGTGGTTTGCAAGCACAAAGCATTCTTCACACTTTCGTTGACAAATCGGGATGACCGACTCGTTTGTTCTTCGTCCATGCGGAAGTCAGCGAACACAACGTCTTCATCGAAGCGAACACGAGCTGCCAAACCGCGGCGATCGGAAAACACCATTTTTTTACGCATTTTTATGTCCAGCAATGCGTCGGCGACTTGCGGAGCGCATGGCGAACAAAGCGGTACACCGCTATCGGCAAGGCGGAATGGAGTCTTCCGCAGCACTTGGAATGCCACCGAACTGTGCGACACGAATGGCTCGCAAGCCGTCAAAGCCTTGCATGAAGCTGCGAACACGCGTGTCGACCTCCGGTGCCAGTCGCAACCTAATGCATCCGGTCCATGCTATATAGGCCGCATTGGAGGGTTTGGCCTGGCGGGTCCGCCACTGCGGCCAACACAGCCGACGCCGACATCCTGCTTGGAGCAGTCGAGACCACACGGGACATTCGGCCAGAAATCATACGGCTCCTGCGGGTCAGTCAAACACCACCCTCGCTGCGACTTGGTATAACCTCGAACTCCCGTGCGGAGCTGAAAGGCTAAGAAGGCCTCATGCCAGGTCATCCAGACAATGGGTGCATCCGGCCGAGTCAATTGATCCAAGTAGGCCTGCAAAAAATGAAAACCTCGAAAACTCATCGAAGGAGGGGCATGCCACCGCAAGTACTGGCTGAGCCGTGGCGCATCGAGCAGCATCATGTTCGGCTCGTCCCCACTCAAGGCAGGCTGCGCGTGAGGACCTGCCTCACGCTCTCGAAGAAAATGGCGCTGTACTTCCGCAAGGCATTTAGTGGTGCGACGAACTGCTTGCCTGGCGGCACAAACTGCTTGATTCACTTCAACCGGCAGCTGGTCTAACATACTGGCTGCCGCGGCATCGGCCATGGCATTACCCCGAAGCACGAATTCCTCAGCCGCAGTGTAGCTGCCGCGGCCTATGTGACTAACAACTTTCAATGCCACTGGTGGACAAGCCAGTTGTGGTACCACAGTCAGCACCGCCTGCCACAAGTCGGAATCAGCCATCGTGGGCGAGATATCAAGGTCACCTTGAATGGCTCGACACGCCTTGAGGTAGACTTCTTGGTTGTCTATCCAGATCCTCCCAAAAGCCTGAGTGGCTTGCAGAAAACGGAGGGCAGCAACCAGGGCCCACAACTCAGCCCCAACCACTGTCTGCCGAATGCCTGGGACAAAGCCTTGCATGGCCAGGTGCAACTCCGAATAGGTGTCCGGATGATTGACCACAACTGCCCAGGCAGCGACTCTCGTGTATGGGCAAGTCGGAAGGTCAGCAGTGCCGTCAGTGAAGAGCTCAAATTGAGTGCCAACCCAAGGTGCAGGGTCGAACAAAGTCTTGGCAGACAGATCCGGTAGACGGGCAAGGGGATGCCGCAGCTGGTCATGTGCATCAGGCCACGTAGGCCATCCCCGAATGGTGAAGCACTCGGGTTGCTCCTCAAGAAACTCAAGAGTGTCAACCGAAAGCTGGCCACGCGAAGGAGCAGTGTGGGCACATTGCCAGTGGCAATGGCGAAGTGAATCCTTTTGACCACACCAAGGACACAGGGGCGTAAAATCACCCTCACTTCGGTGTCGGAGAATGATGAAAACTCCACCCATCAATGCTCGCAACAACCCCCTCTGGGCAGGAGGATGCGCTTGAACTGATTGACGTGCCAGCGCTGACCAGACTTTACGCAAGCCATCGAACCCTTTGCGGCAGCACCACCTGGAACCTACAGTCAAAGACCAGTCGTGCTCAAGCCACAGGCGCACCTCCTGAGGGGCACTATAGTCAAAAGGTCACACTCAAGCGCGGTGAGTGTGCGAAATGTTGTGCCTCTGAGGTGCATCCACCCTATTATGTCCAGCAACCGCTGCACCAAGACGCCACATGACATGGACCCGGCGCCCGAAGTACCAGATCACTACCCGTCAGCAATTCCAGAACGGATGCCTGCACATCTGGCAACGCATGGCGACGAAACTGCCACACCGTTTGGTGCAAAGCGTAAAACTCTGGGTCAGTGCTGGGTGTTTCCAAAAGGCAAAGGCAAACCAGTTGAGGCTGGGTACCTTTGCTGGCCAGCTTGCAACCGAGTCCCCCCCCAAGGATGCGACCGAGACCGAATGAAGAGCTCGTGACCAGGCGCATGCCCTCGCTGCTCGGAGAAGCCAAGCTCTTCCCTAGGCGACCCCAAAGCCCCTGGAGGGAACCACACCTGGCCGTGATGGTATAGTTGGTGTGGCGCCGGGAATGCTGCATGTGCCCTCCCAGATTGCGGGCGCCAAGCTTCGTGACAAAGCCTTGAGCCCGGAAGTCGGCGGCAGCATCAAGAGGCCACGTGTAGGTCTTCCCTGAGTCAAGCTCAATGTCCACACCCTCACAAATGGCATGCAAAGACTGGATGCCAGGCACTATCTGATCTGCAGCAGACCCAGAAAGCTCCCAGTTATCAACATACGAGCTGAAAGCAAGGGTTGGCCAAAGCGAGAACATCCACCTATCGACAACCCAATCTATGATTGCCATAGCCACAACACTCATACCACAACCTTCAGGGAAGCCTCTGAACGAAGGCAGACCTGGACTGAGGGCATTACGAACGCTAAAGTGTCGAACGTTGGTCGTGACAAAACCTAGCCAGGCTCGCAGAACACTGCCGTCAACACCAAGGTGCACAGCTGCACGGAAGACCGGCTCACGTGGCAACGTGTTGAAGGCTTTAACTAAGTCCAAAAAACTACCGGCAAGGGGACTTCATCATACAGAGCGCTTTCAAGCATGGCCTGGTTGGCCCACCTGAAGAACCAGCTCGGTTTCCTCTGACCCCTACGCGGGCATGCTGACTGATGAAATTGAGCAGATTCTTGGAGTGAAAGGAGGACCAAATGCGGTAAGGCAAAGGGTAAATTGGTGATGGGCCTATAATCATTCACAGTGGATGCCTCATTGAACTTTTGAAGGCTGTGCACTACACCATGTCTCAACTGACTGGATGGGCCACACTCCAGTGGTCTCTGCGCGACCAAAAACAGCAAGCAACCCCTGCAAGGCCGCCGAAGGCATGGCCAATAAATCGGCTCGGCTGATACCATCAACCCCAACAGCACACGTTGGCTTGCGAGATCTGACGAAGGCTCTGATCTGATCAACTGTGATCACAGCACGTTCATGTGGCAAAGATGGGAGAAGGCATTCAATCTGAGCATGCACCCCATCCCAATGATGTGGCGGCAGGTGATCATGAGTGCACCACCGTGACTGCCAAAAACTGCTCCCAGAATTGCTACTTTAGATGCACCAGTGGGAATCGATCCAACCAAACGAAAGCCTTGTCCAAAAATAGCCGACCTGCAGATCACGAAAGCGTCACCGTGAAGCACGATGTCAGCAACCAGTGTCACACGATCGCCCTCACTGAAGCTGTTGAAGCGAGGCTCTAGGATCAAGGGCATCCTCAGACTCGGATCGCCCTCCATGGCTTCAGAAACAGGCGTGCTAGCTACAAAGGCGGATCAACACAGGCAGAAACCCCAAGACTCAGCCTGCTCCGCCACGCCAGACTGGAAGGCGTCTTGGGCAGTCGTGGCTATCGGAAAACACCAGTGTGGAATTCCTCGGACCCACCTCCTCCGATGGGGTTCATTGAGGAGCATCGTGACTCACGTGGAGCTCTGGAGCAGACCAGTGCACCAATGGGTACAACGCCAGTCCACCCCAGGTAGGTCAACCGGTCGGCCTCAGGGGGCCATGAGGGCGGCGTGTGAAAGCGGGAGAACCACTTCAAAGTGTGGAGAACATCCCACACTCACTTGGGCGTCAGCCCATTGTGCATTGCAGGTTCTTCAGGGACAGCCTGCTCTTGTCAAGCAAGCTAGAGGCAAACAGCCTGCTCTTCTGAGGCCTTCCTTTGCTTGGGCACCTCCTTCGTTGTCCCACAAAGCAGCAGGCACAGCTGGCCGCACAAGTGAAGAGTCGAAGAGGAAATGCCACAGTTTTAGTCTTGATTTCCAAGACATATTGCAGAGTCTTTATATATTGAACATGGAGCACATATCGAATACAGTATGTATACCTAGGCCAGTCCTAGGCCTAGACCATCCAAAAGACGCACTGTGAAGACCCCGGAATACTAGTGAGCTGGGCTCAACCGCCACACCTGGTGACTGGTCGGATGGTCGGAGGATGGAGTCGTTGTGACTGATCGGATGGTCCAACCACCGGTCCATCTCCAGTGGAGTAGGACTCTCCAGTGCTGGAGCTGGTAGAAGATGGTCGGACACCCAGACAGGAGACAGCTTTTGCTGGTCATTTCATCTTGTCTCACAAGACTGGAGACTGGAGATTTGTCTCTCAAACTCATCCACTGGTGTCCACTGTTTTGATCCACTGGGGGCCACCCATGGTCAAGAGAGCGGTGATGGGAAATGTCACACTCCCTGGAATCATCACGGAACGTGGAGTTCACGTATACCTCGAAAGGTGATCGTCCTCCGTCGCCTTTGGGCCTTGATGATGTAGGGGAGCGAGGCACAGATCTTGTTTCTTTACTCAACTATAGAAACACCACTGGAAATCCCCTGAGGTGTCATTCAAAAGATCCTGACATTCCAGGCTTTGATTCATCATGGATCTATCAAACGCCTGATCCGCAGGGTCTTTTCCCCAACAACCAGTAAGACTAGTGACAACTCCAGACTCATCATGTTTCAGGAGGTGTATTTCAATAGGGAGACCATCTCTGACTGACCCAATGAGTTGGGTTGATTTTCCAAACCTTCTCGGAGGTCGTTGCCTTTCGGGCCTCCCTATTCTAAGACATCTCTTGGCAGGGGTCGGACCTTCTCCCCATAATGGGGGTCCGGACCTGCTGTTCCCAAACCCTTCATGTGCTTGGGGCTCCTTATTCGACCTGTTGGATTTCAGATTCCCAAGGGCAGCATCTCTTCCTCAGTTTTCCTCCAAGTTGGAGAGTCACTCTCTTCGGTGGCGGTCACTCTCTTCGGTGACCCTTGAAGTGGTTCACCTTTGGAAGCACTGATTGACTTCTTCAGAAGGACGCCCGTTGTCCACGCTTCAAGGCTGCCCACCCATCGCTTCCTTGCACTAGTAGGGTGGAGGCCATTGCTAGTAGGTGGCAGGCCATCGCTCTTAGGGTGGAGGCCATTGCCATTAGAAGCAACTTCAACATGTTTCTCCACGTCCTCCTCTGGAAACATGCGACCACATCGTCCCCGCTAAGACGGTCAAAGCAGACGGTCCAACTCCCCTGCTCCGCCGAGCGCCCCGCAGGCGCGGCGTGACCGTTCCAACAGGAGATGGGATGGGAAACAGTTCCAACGCCAGGATGTCGTGGAGCAACCCCGTGCTAGGTAGGTCATATGTTTGCCTAGTGACAAGCAAACAAACAAACAAACCCCAACACACACATACACACACACACACATGCACACATGCACCCACGCGCATGTGCCGAGCCCCTTGAGTCCCAAAACTCTATAAGTAGCCAGCAGCACTCTGAATATAGACTCCAAAGTGTATGCCCTCGTTTTTCGATCATGAAGGAGCGGGTGCAAATGCGCAGCAACAGCACCCTGGGCAGCAAGAAACGCGTGGAAGAATCGCACGAACGGCGGAGATTCTGCCAGAGCAGCCCCTGAAGGGCACACCAGGAACCGATGAACAGTGAAGGTGAGTCTGAGAAGATTGTAGATCGCATTGTCTCTGACACAATCAGATGTACTAAAGGTTTTCATATGAATCTGGTGGTATGGAGTCTTGGAATTCAGGATCCATATTGATCTCAATCCCCAAAGACGCAACTTTAACATGCGCGTGGTGAAACACACCTCGAGCGGCTTTCGATTTGGCGCTCAATCCCCCCAAAAATCTCCCCGCCAGGTGATGTACTCACCCAATTTTGGTGGTTAATCAATATCATAGATAATCATAGATAATCATATCAACCTGGTCACATCCGGTTTTCTGTTTCATCTCATCAACCTGCCAGGCGATACGGATCCTATTGTCTCGTTTCCGAAGACCACGGACCAAACCGATAGCACGTCAACCTGTTTCAGGATCACGGAGTCACGCCCGAACCTGCGGGAGTCCAACGGGGGGGTTTGGGCGGAAAACACCGAAGAATCGAAGCAGAAACAACACCAATCAAGCGGAAAGAAGAAGAGAAAAGAAGGATTCAAGAATACCATAACGGTCGATTTGGGTGGTGATACATTATTTATAGAGATAATATTTACATAGTTATGTGTTGGTCACATACTGATCATGACTACATCTTAGCTTGTTCATGGAGCATTGCTCAACAAAGTCTCAACGAGCTTGTGCTTGAGGTCTCCCTCTCAGCGGGGTTCGGTCTCAGCAGTTGGGGTCGCCCAGAGCCTGTGCCGGGTGGGTGTGGAGGTTCATGTTCGTGGTCGCTGGTCTTTTTCCCCAGAGAGCGGCAGCTACCAGCAGTCACAAGACGGGGTGCGATCCATGGAGATTAGGGGTGCCCAGAACATCCACTCACTTAGAGACCCAAAACCACCCCGTCTTGTGACTCCTGGTATGGGGTTCTTACTTCAAATCACAAGGTCGTGGGATTCTGCCTAGCTCTCTGGGTCGGCTAGTGTAATTGAACGGACCGGAAGGATCTCTCAGATGCGAAGAACTGGGCAAACCCTGTCGACTCACCTTCCTCCAAACCCTGTCGACTCACCTGATGGATGACACGTGAGTCGACTCCGCCGTGACACCGACCGATCGACCGCGACCGTCCGGGCGACTCGGTCAGTCGACGCTTTGGGGAGCTGTGCCGACGACAGTCACAACCAGGAGTCACAGAGCTCGGGGTTTGGAGGAGAGGTAAGGGAAAGGAAGGGAAGTCGGATGTGCCCACATCTCACAGATACACTCACTTGTTTGTTTGCGGGCACTAAACAACCAGCTCTTTTGTGACTCCTAGAGCTAACCTAAAATGTCTCCCAGCATGGATTTCAATGGTGGTGGGAGGGTTCAATGATGGGCCAGTCTCGCGGGCTGTTCGGAACATGATGTCCATGTCATCCATTTCGCACCAATGAAACACGTCAAGGTTGTTTTGTTTGAATCCAGGTGGTTTTGGGATCCAGATGGTGCCTTCCATCTTCTGTTTGGTTCAGGTGGTGCCTTTGTTGGGGCTAGCGGCCATGTGCTCCTTGCGAACGCGCAGGCGTGGCAGGTGATTCTGGAAATTCGTATTACATATTAATCCCTGTGCAGGTCTTTGGAGACTTGTCTCTTTCCCCACCCAGCAGCATTGGGCTAGCCATATTTGGGCGCGGTAGACTACAACTTACCGAACCAAATTACCCTTAGTAATCTCTTGAGCTTTTCCTTGCGCACTTGCCAGAAAGAACTCACCAAGCACCTTGCATTTCCGAAAAGAAGACAGCTCAGCTTAGACTCTGCTGGACGGTCCGTGTGAGTCTTGATCACAACGGCCGCGCATCCGGCGGGTTCACCGGGGGTTTGAAGGGTTCGGAATCGAGAGACGAAGGAAGGGCAAGGCGGCCAAACGTTCGGAATCGCCTTCCCAAGTGAGAACATGAAGCTTGTGAGCTGAGTGTTCAAGAACAACATGCAATGGGAGTTGCAAGGTTTTTTGGGGGTTCTGAAGCTAAACGTGACCTGGCATATTTCAGCTGATTTGTATGACTGTCAAGGGCGGGGGTTGCGTGTCAGTTTCCTTTTGCGTTGGCTGTAGCCTTTGGTTTCAACACTGGGCTGATGACCAGACCCTTTCCGAGGCTTTTGTTCAATGCTCCTCCCAAGATGGGTGTGTAGCTGATGGGCGATCATCCGGAAGACCCGAAGCAGGAACATCGATTTTAAGACACCCAGATAGCCCAATCGGTTTGAGAACGTACCTAGCGTACCTAGCGCTTCCTGTTTGGGTGTTGGTAACCCTCTGGTGACCTATAATTAAGCAGTGTAGGGGCCCGTCCAGCCTGGTCACCAGCTTCCAGCAGCTGGTACAGTACGCCGTTACGCGTCCCAGACACCTTTTGGAGGGGTCGGACGGAACTCGATCCAGCTGATTTCACGGAGCCTCTGGGTCGGCGGGCTCTTTGAGATTTTTGCTGCAAACTGCCGATGAAAACTCGCAGACCACGGGTGACGGGTGTTTTCTCCGGCCACCGAGCTTTTGCATCCTCGGTGAACCCCCCGAAACCACGTGCGTGGTGTCCTGGGTGTTGTGGTGTCGTGGTGAACGTCCCGGAAGCTCGGAATCTGCAAGTCCAACCAAAACCGGTCGTGCCGTTAGAACTTGCAGACCGGTCTCCAAACGAGAGAGACATCGATCCAAGTTACTACCGTTGGTTCTTCAGTGTTTGGAGAGGTCCCGTTGTGCCGTGGTGTTTGGGGAGAGCCAGACTTTCTAGACCTACCTATCACATCATATCATGCCATGTTGGGCCCAGAGGCACAAGAGAAACGGAGCAGAAACCCGGTGGTTGAGCACTCCTGGTTCTTCAAAGTGACCGAACTTGATAACCTGGTTGGTTCGGTCACTTAAGCCTCCTGTTTGGGTCACGCAGAGGAACCTTCAAAGGTCACGTACTGAAGAAGCTGGCTGTCATTCTGCGGCTTTGATCCAGGCCTAGCGGCACTCCTATGGCCTTAGTAGGCCAGAGCCTTCCGGTCGAGGTGCAGCCTGAGCTTGGTCGGTCAGAGGCGATCGAAGGGATGAAGGCTTCTTGTTCCTACCCTAAGAATCAAGGACCCTCAGTTCGGTGAAGGTTTTGAGGGTCCAAACCCCTGCTATGGGTCAAAACCCTCCAGTTCGGAGGCTCCTCTAGCTTCTTGCTCCTAGTAAGGCCAGGAGCCCTGTTCGGTTCGCGTCCGATCGTGACTTCGTTTGAGTCGCGATGCCCTTGGTTCATCTTTGTTCTGGTTTCAGCGCTTGGATGAAACCGGGCTCCAGTCGTAGCTCCTGAGCTTCGGTATGACTGGACCCGAACATGGCAGGTTCGGTGCTTGGAGCCCTAGGACCTTAGGGGAAGGGTTGATGTGACCTGCACCTCTGGTTCCACCATAGAAGGCTATGCACGAGGATGCATGGCTGCGGGTCAGCTGAAAATCGGAAGACCCAATCTCCACCTAGTCCCAGCGATGGATGCTGGTGAGCCCAGTCTGGATAGGTTTCTGAGTCCGAGCCCCCCCTCGAACTGGGCAACGCCTCGGGGCGCCGTTGAAGTGACTTTGGACGTTGAAGAACGCCACGGGACCTGATTTGGAGCTTGCACCAGAACCTGAACCCAGACTGTCTCACCATCCCGAAGGTCTTCTTAAACTGGCGCTTTCGCCAGGTTCTGCATTCACCATGAAAGCCAACACCCACCACCGGAAGACGTTGGATGACCCGGACCCGACCAGAAACCTCCTCCTCCCAGCCGATGCGACGCACCAGACCATGGACGAGCCGGCGACGGTGATGCACACCGCGGGCGGCCGACGTAAGCGCTTGGGCGTGGGCGGTCGTGTGGGGGTGCCCAAGAGGTGTTCGGTCGGGGGTGGGGGTGGGGTGGCACGGGGCAGAGTGGTGGGTCAACCCCGGGGCGCAGTCAACGAAGGTTTAGAATCAATGATCACGAAAGCTAGCTGATAGCTAGCTGGAGTCTGTCTTGCTTTAGCAAGGGAGGGGTGGGAACCCAGGACCTGAGTCATAACCCCTGATGTATCAGGGATATACCCCCCCTGCTTTTAAAGGCTCTAATCTCTGTGGTGAAGCACCACTTCGATGATTTGCAAGTCCTTTGTGGATTTGGATCTCTGAAAGATTCTAAGATCTTCAGGGTATCGAATGGGTGAGCAGCTGAAGCTAATTGGGGAGGCCTCACCCATTCACTAGGAAATGGGTTGACGAGTGTAAAACTCAGTGTGGCAGGGGGGGTGGAGGGGAGGGAGAATTCAGGGCATATATGGGCATATTAAGTACATATCCCATACACTCCATGGGACTGCCAATATATGCCGACCCATTGACCCCAAAAACCACCCCAACTGATCGGCATAGATGGCAGTCCCATGGAGTGTCTGGGTATTAAATTTGATTGAATTGACTTGACTCCCCCCTCAAACCTTGGGTTTCGGGTATATCAATTTCCTTCCATGCTTCTTTTACGACGTGCACGAAAACGACCGGAGAGCTTCGATTCAAGAGGCGTGTTCACGACGGGAGGAGGTTTCGTGCAGCGGGAGGATCTGTGAAGTCGGTCTCCCGAGGTCTCCAAAGTGCTGCCATAGGTCTCCGTGCATTTTGCTCACCTATACCCTACAAGTCCAGTCTGACCCAAAACCGGCTTTTCTGGCTCCTGTAAAATGAAGTCCAACTGACTTGTATGGTCCATTTGTCACTCGATTCTCGCGCCAGATTTGCATGCTGACTGGCGTGCCGGGCCGGCGTGCTTGAACCGGGGCCGCGCAGGGCGCAGGGCCTGGCACGGTGTCGACGTCAGGTCGGACAAGAACTCGAGGGATGTTCTGACGAAGCATGACGTCCAGCAATGAACATCTTTGGTCCATGGTTTTTGGGGTCCCGCACCCCTATGTCCTCCAAGTTCGGCACCTCAACATGGAATCTCTGGGGGTATAGATTCATTGGATCCATGCAAGCCTAAGGAAGGGTCTAGTGGGATGGAGGTGTTCAGTCAGACCCTACTTGTATGGGCGAAACGGGACAATCCTTTTCAATTGGGAGGGGTCCAAACGAAAGCCTTCATGTGACGAACAGTAGTTGTCAGAGTTAAAACCTGCAAAAGCCATCACCTATAGGTCCAGTTCTTTTGTCCCTCTTCCTCACATCTGGCAACTGTTGCACTGCCCAATTTGCTCCCTCTCCGGCCTCTCCAAACATTCAAAGCCACTCAGAGCTCCGTTTCCAACATCGGCCCTGTTACGCCGAGCCGAACGCGACCAGGAAGAAGATCAAGGGCGTCGTTCGGACCTACCACCTCAAGAAGAACTGCCGTGCGCTGGCTGCAGATTGTTTCTTTCTTTGTTCCCAAACACGAAACAGAGAAGAAAAGAGAAACAATCATTATAGTTTCCCATTTTGTTTCCCCTAATTTTAGTCACACTAGGGGTTCTTGCGGTAGGGGTTACGCACCAGTGTTTACCCATTTCTCGGTGTCGCGCGAACCCGCCCGCGCGACCGACACGTCTCGCCGATGCCGGATGCCGAAGGCCGTGCGTTCGGAGTTCGGTGAGCCTGATGCGTTCGTAACCCTGAAGAGATCAAGGATTACCCTAAGAATCCGTACAGGCTCTCCATGGCAGGGGCCGGACCCTCCATAGCAGGGGTCCGCCCTCAAAAGCCTATCTGTTTGAGGGCCCGGATTCTGAGGGTAGGATCCCTTGTAGATGACAAGCATGTTCCGCAGCATCTTCCAGCTCTCATCTAGCGCCTAGCATCACCCAGACCATCCATGGGAGAGATGGATGCCGCCCCAGGATGCGACCAGTGTTCAATCAACCACCCGGATCCAGTGGTTCGGTCAAGCCAGTCCCAGCGAATGCATGGCGCAGACGGTCAGGATATTGGCGCCCAAACACCATGTGGAAGAACCTTTGGTGGGACAAGGCGCGTGGGGAGGATGCTCGACCGTCGAGGGCGGGCCCTTGGACGCAACCCATTGGGACGGTGCACGATGAGGAGTTGGCGGCAGACATTCAGGTGAGGGGTTGGACGATGAGCATTGAAGCTGTATACTTATCATATAAATTTAACTATTTACATCCATCTGGGATCATCTTGGGGTGGTTGAAAAAGGGGTCTTTTAAGGGCACGGCATAGTTCGGAGTGCTTAAGGGCACTTCCTTCTGAGCCTCCCAACAGCGACATGATGTGAGCCTGCGAACCATCTGCGATCCGATCAAGCCTTGGAGTCGACTCCGATCCGCTCGGCGAAAGAGAGCGACCGAGAAGAAGTGGGTCATGTCATTTCCAGAAAGGCTCAGAAGTTCAGCTGAAAGGGAGGTGTTTCCAGCCAAGACTTCTTAAGATGCCCCAGTTTTTTGTGGCAGCTGAACCATTCTCCACTCAGTCTTGACGGACTGAACCATCCTCGAGCAGTGCCGTCGAGTGTCCGGGCGGTGTGGTTGGCACACGGACGAAGCGTCAGGAGAAGAAGTGGGTCCGACTTTACATCTGCGTGGATGCCTTGCCTTATGTTGCGGAGCCCAGGGAATCAGTGTTTCTGGGGAGAGGTGACTCTGGGTGACGCTGAAATCAGCCCGACTGGTCCCTCAAGACTTCAATAGGTGAGAACTCTCAGACCCTTCGATTCGGATCCGGTCTCTGTCTCTCCATGACGTTCCGATTTGGTCCATCGGTGAAGTTCTGGTCAAGACCGAGGAGCTCAAGCATCGGCACTCACTTCCTTGTTCCTGGTGTCCTCACTCAAGAACAGGTGAGCCATGCCGCTTCACCTCTCACATGTGATCTTGGTCATGACATCAAGCTTTCCACCGGCAGCTCAGGTGGACACCTCGCCTCACCTCTTTTTCCCAAGCAAAATCCTTGCGAGGTGGACATACTCCACGCTTTGTCTTCGTGCTTCCCCCCTTCGGGGTGGCCGAAGGTGGTCGCCACGAGTCACCTCGACCGGGACGTTGAGCCCCGGGTGAACATGGTGGGTCACTACTCGCCCCCAGTGATCGTTCAGCGAAGAGAACAGCCATCAATCTACCCAGGTAGGGCTCAGGGCTCAGGGCTCAGGTCGTAGCTCAGGGCCCTCAGGGCTTAAGATAACAGTGTAGGTACTCAGTAGGGCTCCAAGCACCGTAGCTCAGGTTCGGGTCACACTGGACCCTCGCACCCAGGGTCCCACCGAACCTCAGGTTCGGTGCTCGAAGCCCTATAGGCTACAGGGGCTACTTTGATCTTGGAATGACCAACAGGTTGGTGTCTCTCCCTCCCCCAGCGTGGGCCGCCCTCCATCCCAATGGGACGGCAGGCCAAGGCCATCCGTCGCGAGTGGTGTCGTTCAGAGGCAAACGGAAGGGTGGTGCACAGAAAAGGTTTTGCAAAAACCTGTTCTACTAACATCGTGGAAGGCGCGGGACATTCGTAGAACCCAAGGCTATTCGTGGACAGTTCGTGGAATGGTGGGCCAGTAGGAGAACTGACTGCAACGAAATCCCAGAAACCTTCGCAGAACTTTGTGGAAGTTTTTTTTGATGTACTAACTTCGTATAAGCGATTTTTGCTGACCCCCTTTCTCCACGCACCCTCCATTTAGCCTTCAGTCGTGGCCGATGTGGAACGCATGGCGAAGAGAAGGTTGAACCGGGCGAAGAGGGTTCTTCTTTCGAATGTCGAGCATTCTGGGGTCACTCGTCTACCCTACCCACACCTACCAACCCATTCTGCCAGCCGTGCACGCAAAACGCCGACGGCGCGGATTCGGGCTTAGATCGATGACTATGGCTTGGACCACTGCGCCAAGTTGGATACCTCAGAGATCGGAAGACGACACGGCAGCGACAGCCGGGGTCGTTTGGGCGGAACCCGGTCGCCCTGCTCGGATGGGATGGCTTGGAATACAAAACAGATGGGATGGGATGGCTTTTACTTAATGGATTTGTTCCCAGAGGCTCATGGACCATCCTTTGGAAGGGTCAGGGGTCTCAAATCATTAGGTTTTGAGGGACCAAGGGCTGTTTGGAGCGTTTGGGTCTACAACACCAGGTTGTTCCCGTTTAAGGGTCCAACGGACTTCCCAGACGGGGGGGGGGGTATGAAATGGACTTCGGTGCAGGGGATGAGCCGTTTTTTTGGGGGGTGGAGCATGGAGAATGAAGTTGGGAAAAGGCATTTGGAGTGTTTTTTTTTCGTCAGCTACAGAAAGGAGTCATGTTAAGTAACTATTCCAGTCCATGGATGGCCTGGGACTGACACATAAAGACATATTATATATATGTCGATTGATAGCTTCAACCCTCCAACGGTACTTGATGGAAGCTAGCGTGGAATTATTTTCTTCGGTAGAAGCTGAATATCTTCTACCAGGAGCCCCTTAGGGGTGTTTATTCATAGCCCCTTGGAGGCAAAGGGTGTCTATTAACCACACCTTGTGGGTCCAGGTACAAGCTGCTTGTTGTGGGACCAATTCCTTTGTCAGGAAGGATTAGGAGAAAAAACGTTGCACCAGGTAAGATTCTGAGGCTCAATAATTCAATAGACCTGGCAAAAGGAATGATTATATATTTATAGAGTAGTCTACAGATTAATTTTATGATAAGATCACATGTTTCGCGTAAGCTTAGGTCCGGCACTAGCGAAGTAAAGTCAATCGGGGGCCTTCTAAAGACCATTTTTAATGGTCGTTGACTCCCAGGGATTGCCATAGAGAGTACGTCTCGACCCACATATCCCAGTGCGCGTTCCAAAGCGCGCCCGCAACAGCGTGGCCGAGGAAAGCCGGCTTAGACTTGTATGCATGGACCAAGGAGAGTTGGACACGATCACGCACGAACACGAGTTGGACGCGATGACACCATTCACTAATAAATTCATGGCATGCCTGGAATATTTACATTGGGGTGGTTCAAAATGGGTCAATGGTACCTATTATACACCAGCACCACGGAAAGCGTGTCCATTAATGGCCCCTTATAGCTAGTAGCTTCTGGTTCCTAGTAAGGCCAGGGTCGCCCCGTTCGTGGCGTCCTGGGCCGGTCCGGGGGGCGAGTCTTAGCGGACCGATGGGGGCTGTGAAGTCACCACTTGAGCTGAACAACACGTGGACGAACGGTCGCATAGCTGGACCATGATCCCACGGCCAATGGTCACTCGACCTATAAGGGTACCAGCAGTCCACGTGCCACACTTGGAGAGGTCCGCCCATGATCCACACACTTTAAGGACCATGCAAGTACAACTTCGTTTTGAACGGGGCACCTATATCAACTGTGCACTAGCCCCTGGAAGACCAACATGAACCCTAAAAAACCACTTGTTGGTAGACAAAGAGAATCTTCCAGGGGCCCATCATCAGGCTCCATGTGAGTTTTCGGGTACTTCCAACATCCACTCCGACAGGGATCACGGCTGGATGCAGGACCACTGGGAGCCTGGCTCTCGTCAGCCCTTGCGCCTCAAGGACCGGCGCTTTCCAACATTCGGAATGGGTCGAAGGAACTGGAGACCTAGCCCGGACTGGCTGAACCCATCCAAACCACCCATCCAAACCACCACTTCGGGAGAGTCCGAGCCCGCCAACATCCACTCGTTCGTTCGGTGAAGCCCCCATCCCCGAAGAACGGAGCAGCTTCGAACCGCCCGAACTTGAAGGGTTTAGAGAAATTGGCGCATACAACGGGTTTCCGAACGGAGCTTGGTTTGGTTCGCTTGAACCAGGAGATATTGGTAGGTTGCATCAAAGTACCAAGTGGTTCTGAGTGCTGTATAGACCCCCCCAAGTGAGCGGATGCTCGAGAGGCACCGTGGGTCACCCCTGGGCCACTGAAGAGCCACATGTACAGCACTTTTCCTGGCTCTTAGGCTGCACGGATGCACAGATTAGCAGCCTGGAAATGCCTGGTCTCCCAGGAAACTATACTGACTGGTGCGACTTGTAGGGAATGAGGGAAATAGATCCAAAGGAGTCCATACTTGGAGGCGAAACTTCCCTCATTCTCTACGAGTCGCACCAGTCAGTATAAGAGAATGACTCGTTACCCTTCAGAATCGCCTAGGGCTTTGGGGTGTTTCTGGTCCCAACATCGCTGCCTGGAGAAGGTATCGGGCAGGGAGAAGGTATACCACTATCTGCCGGGCCTTGGGCCCGTTTTCACGGCTTCTTAGGGTACTAGAAATGGCTTTTTTCTTGAGACCCAAGGGGGAGACCCCGAACTCGGGGTGGGAGGGTGGCTCATTATGTATACTTCATGACGTTCACTCAGCAGTCGAACATGAGTTCACCGTTTCGGACCGCATCGAGCGGTGGGAGGTGAGTGATACTGGAAAGGCCAAGAAGGACAAGAAGATTTGGCTCCTTAGACTTGTTGGGGCCAGCGGAGTGAGTGACCGAATGAATGCATGGATGACAGAATTACAGTAGTAATGACTGAATGAATTTAACTGACTGCCCGACCGACTCAATGACTGACTGACTGAATGAGTCCAGCAGAGATAAAGATCTATGATGACCGTCACAACTTTAGCGTCTTGCGTAAACTTGCACTAGGACATGCCCAAAGCTTCAAAAGCATGGATTTTTTCACGATTTGCAGACCATCCATGGGACTGGCCCCACTCATTTTCATGGAGCTCATCCTATGTAACTCTTCCAGACATCGCTTTTAGCAGAGACCTAAGAGACGTCACCTGCGACCAAACCGGGGCTTTTTGGGGTCGCAGAACCTGGACCCTCCGTTCCATGGCTCATCGAAAGTGTCCCGCTCGCGTGCGGCAGCGGGAGTCATGGTCAACACGTCCGACCCGATGGGTCGCCAAGCAGTGGAGACCGGCCCAAGAACTCTCAACGAACGACCTGTTTATATAGTTATATAATCCCCACCCTGTTACTGAGCTTTCGAGGGGGGGGACCTCAAAAATGTAACTTACATTTTTTGGGGGGGACCCTAAATGTAACAACCACCCCCCCCAGGCAAGATTTCAGGGTCTCTGGAGGGGGGGGGGAGGGGGCCTATAAAATGTAACTATGGACCTCCCAGGGCCTATGTTACATTTTTGCACCCCCCCCCCGATGCCTTTTTTTGGGGGGGTGGAAGAAATGTAACAAGATACCTCCAAGGTAGTCTCACAGGTGTATAGTTACATTTGTTCTCCCCCGCTTTTAGCTTCGTGGAGCTTGCATGTGTATGTAGAGCATTTGGCTCCACGATGGCACATGCCGTTGAGAAAGACAATACCGAATTGGACTAAACGAGATTTTCAAAGATAGAATAGACATGGTCAACTCATTATTTTGTTTGGCTCTGGCTGGCAGGGATAAGGCTTGGTGATGCTTGGGAGGTGAAACATTGGTGGATCAGGCAACAGACAAGCAGGTAAACATGCAAGTTTTCAAGCCCTGGACAAACAGTAAGTTACATTTATTATGGTCCTTTTGTGAAGTCTTTTTTCTTTTTGAGCTTGGGAGGTGTGAGACAGGGGATGGCCAAGCATTTCTTGTAGTGT